CTCTCAGCACTTGCTCTGGGGGACTCAGGGGCCTGTTACAACTTAACAATGAGACATATCAAATTGAACCTGTTCAGCCATCTGCTACCTTTCAGCATGTGGTGTATCGGCTGGAAATAGAGGAGGGTGCCATGCACATGAGGTGTGGGTTGACGGAGGAGGAGCAAAGGCGTCAAGAGGCCATGATCCAGGACGCAGAGCATGTGGCTGTCAAAAGTGCTCCAGCAGGACTCTGGTGGCCACACAAGAGACATGCAGAAGTGGCATTTGTGGTGGAGCATGAACGATATGTTAAGTTTAATAAAAATGAAACTGATATTGCTATGAAACTTCTTGAGGCCATCCATGTTATAAATTCATTTTTTGAGCCACTTTTTCTTGACGTGTCTGTAGCAGGACTGGAGATATGGACGGAAAAGAACCTCATAGATGTTGATAAAAGTATGGGAGCCACACTTAAAGCTTTCAGTATATGGAGACGTAACACTCTACTTAACCATCTAAAGAATGATGCTGCTCACTTAATTGTATACAGGTCGTATAGAGGTATTATTGGAATAGCATATGTAGGACAAATTTGTAGTAAGCATTTCGCTACTGGTGTTGTAGCATCAAAGAATTTCAATTTGTTTGATTTTTCTGTGCTATTTGCCCATGAATTTGGACATAATCTTGGTATGAAACATGATGATTTTGTCTGTAAATGTGATCGACGTGCCTGCATTATGTCTGCTTGGCACACAGAGGTTGATAAGTTTAGCAACTGCAGTTACTATGAGTATTTCAATCGAAGGAATTCACCTTGCTTGTTGATTCCACCAGACCGTGATCAAATCTATAACCTCGAATACTGTGGGAACAAAGTAGTGGAAAAAGGAGAGCAATGCGACTGTGGTACAACTGAACAGTGTCGATTGGATTATTGTTGCAGGCCAAATTGCACATTGCGTCCATGTGCCAATTGTTCTTCTGGATTGTGCTGTGACAGGTGCAAGTACCGTCCCCCTGGATCCATTTGCAGAAAGAGTATTAGTATGTGCGATCTTCCTGAGTTTTGCACTGGGACTTCAGACCAGTGTCCGGAAGATTTTTATGTACAAGATGGTGCCCCTTGTGGTGATGGAGTCTATTGCTATCATGGTCGTTGTAGTACTCCTAATGGGCAGTGTGAAAAGATATTTGGCAAGAAAACTGTACATGCTTCAGAGGATTGTTTCAGAGGACTGAATGCTCGAGGTGATCGCTTTGGCAACTGTGGCCTAAAACATGGTATTTTTAAGAAATGCAATGCTGAAAATATTCTATGTGGCCGAATGCAGTGTACTAATATCCATAGTGTACCTACCTTGGAGGAACACCAAACCATCATTCAAACCACCATTGGCAAAAGTAACTGCTGGGCTACCGACTATCACAGTGGAATGGAGGTAGCTGATCTTGGAGCAGTGGAAGATGGTACACCTTGTGGCACTGGCATGATGTGCATTAGTAGGGAATGCAAGAACGTGTCCCTCTTGCAGTATGATTGCAATGCCACCAAGTGCCATAATAGGGGAATATGTAACAACCACAAACACTGTCATTGTTCTTATGGTTGGGCCCCTCCTGACTGTCTAAAGGAAGGATATGGGGGCAGCATTGACAGTGGGCCAATTTCAAAAAACTGGAATGGTGTCATTGTAGGTAGTATTGTAGGAAGTGTGTTAGTCCTTTCCACAGTGACTGCTGCTGTTGGCATGGGTGTGTATTACAGGTTTGTGCTAAGCAACAAGGTTAGAAGAAAGAGTTCAAGAATCTCTCCATCATAATGAACAGATTAACTAAAACCATTCTAGATCACAGAAGTGAACAATGCAGAAAGTTTTAAAAAGGTATGATGGGTATAATGAGCACTATTATATAACATATATTTGACTCTGTAAGCATTGGTTCAGTTCATCTCAAGTGGAAATATTCACATATGAAAATCTTTGGTTATACTTTCACAGTATGTTGAGAGTCTCTTTGTTGTTCAGGACAGAAGTCCTATCCTATGTAAATAGGAGAAATCTGTCCAGTGGAATGGAATGTTATCATACAGGAAGATACCATGCTAAAGAAATGCATGGAAGCAGTGCTGCTATTTTGAATATTTCATATTTTCTCCCAATGTAACCTTGAGTGTACAGAGAAAGAATCATAACCCAATCCTCTAATACCATTGAAATGCAATATTGGTATGTTTGTGAAGTGAATTCACATCTGTCTAGAAAGCCATTGCAAAAGTTATACCGATAACTGTGTCGGCACATATATTTTTTCTAGAATCATGTAATGGTCAGTCTGGCTGTCTCTAATAAGTAGCTAATTAGCAGTTTGCTTTTTAGATCTTTGTAGCTATGGGGAGAAAATATTCCACTAGCTGAGTGTCCAGCTCAATGCACTGATTAGTTCTAACTTTCAATAAGATCTTCTGATTTTGAGGGAAGGTCTCAGAACATTTTCAAGTTAATCTGAAGTGAGCTCAGAATAACTTGCGTATCTCTAATTGAAGTATTCGGACACAACACAAATGTGAGGGAGAATGTTACGGGAAACCAGCTTTGACCCATATTACAAGGTGGCTGTTACTTGCCCTCTGTCTTTATACTGGGTTTCCAAATGCCTTTGCATATAACTCCTATTGCACGTAAAAATTGCTCAAGAGTTGTGTATTTAAAAGACCAGTGCATATAAATGCAAAATATTATTTGCACTTCACACATTAAAGAGTTTATAAACCCATTACTAGGAAACCAAGTAAGCAGGAGTCTATATTACAGTAAAACATAGACAATAAAAGGATTATTTATAATGAATATCAGTGAACATGGTAGATGCAGAACAACATATTTATTGGACTTGGCTTGATTACATTTGCAGCATTACTCAAGTTGATTGATTAGTATATACAGCCTTCTCATTTTATGTCTAAATATATGGAATACGGAAGGCCATGTTTCTGTACTGGAACAAGGGGAATGCAAAACGATGTTGAGAAAGTGGCTAGACTATCTAATATAAAATATAGAGGTTTATAAAAAGAGCTTTCAGGGCCTTAAATTCCGGAGGCTGCAAAACTGAGGCATAAAAGCGTATAAATTCCCCCTTACCCAGCCACAACAACGTCATATAATTTTTATAAAGACTCTCAACTGTACAGTTTAGGTTGTCTACTCATTCTGCACTATGAACAAGCATTACGTTCCTTGTACAAAAATTAGAGAAATTAATGGAAGGACAGCCTAGTGAAGATAGCTAAATGGAACACCCATTGTAAGAAGACAAATACCTTTAATTACCAGATGATGGGAAAACCATCCCCAAATGGCTGTGTGTGTGAAGGGTGTGTGTGTGCCACTGGAGTAAATCTGAGTTTTTGAAGTACCGAAGTTTAAGGCAGCCATTCTGTGCCCATGTACCCTGGGAGAAAGCTAGACTAAATTCAACGGACTTGCTTCTGTATACAGTAGATTGTTTGAGGAGCAGGTACAGTGGCACCTCGGGTTACATACACTTCAGGTTACAGACTCAGCTAACCCAGAAATAGTATCTCGGGTTAAGAACTTTGCTTCAGGATGAGAACAGAATTCGTGCTCCGGTGGTGCGGCAGCAGCAGGAGGCCCCATTAGCTAAAGTGGTGCTTCAGGTTAAGAACACTTTCAGGTTAAGAACGGACCTCCGGAATGAATTAAGTACTTAACCCAAGGTACCACTGTATATGCTGCGGGAGGTCCACTTCATATACTTAGGGAATCGTAACTCATTCTGCTCACCCAGTTGCTTTGAGCCCTGAACTTGATAAATTGGCTTGCAAAATCATCAGATCAAGAGAATTATCAGCTGCTTGGAATCACAAGCGGGGAGAGAACAATTGCAGTTAGGTTCACTGCAAGAACAGGGTGCTGGACTGTGCTGAGCCTTTGATCTGATCCAGCCAGGCTCTTCTTATGAAAAATGTAGGGAAATTCGAAGCCAAAGTGTCAATGCACTATAGCCTCACAGTGGCCAGTCGCATGCCGGCAGGAAGCCTGCAAGCAACACTTGAGTGCAACTGTGTTCTCCGCCACATGTGATGCCCAGCACCTGGTATTCAAATGCATTTTATCTCCAACGGTGTCCTGCTTCTGAACTTCCCAGAGGAAGTCATGGTGGCCTACATAGACTTTTGCTCTGATCTAGCATGGTTCTCCTTTTCTAAGCTTTGAGATTGATTGCTCTGCAATTCATCCTTCTCTCACAGGACATTCTGTCAAGATCAGGTGGTGGTTGCTCTTTTTAAAATGCCATTAAGATCCCCAAATAAATTCAAGCACAGCATGCTTACAGCTTTCATGATTACACATTTTATGCATGGAGTTATAATTAAAAACCAGTTTTTTTTTCAAAAATGCTTGCAATTATAATATGTAGAACTGAAGCCCTATGTAGGAGGGGGGGGGAGAGATGTTATTTTGCATGTTGAATCGAACAAATGGTTCAGAGAACGAAGATTGGACGACCTTCTGCCAAGTCGGTTTGTAACATATGTGCAGACAGACACCACTGGCTTCTCTAAATGTTTTGGCATAAAAAGGATTTGATTGGGAATATTAAGAATGAGGAAAATATTTCTGTGAGTCTAAGAAATATTTAACGTTGTGAGTCATTGCTTGAGGAATAGTTGGGAAAAAACGGCTTCATGGTACTGTTGGCAGGAGCACCAAAGCAGAAAATCAATAGAAATAACAGAAGTATATCTTCAGCAGTGACGGCGAGAGGACGAATGAGCAGGAATGTACAAGTCAATATCACAGAGCTGGCCCCAGGCTTTCGGGACTTACTGGGCACCCTCCTAACTTCACCCTACTAAGCATTCGGTGACCTCCAGCAACTCAGGACTTCAGGGCATCCTAGACTGGTGTTGCTGTGATTGATGTGTGGTGTTTAATGCAGGGATAGGGAATCTGTGGCCCTCCAGATCCCTTTTTTTTGGAGAAGGACTGTAGCTCAGTGGTAGAGCAACTGCTTTGCAGGTGGAAAGTTCCAGCTTCAATCCCTGGCATCTGGAGGTAGGAGGGCCAGTCATGGTATGCAATATTCAGCAGTGGACCAAAGGTCTGATTCGGTATGCGGCAGTTTCCTATGTTCCTAAACCTCATCAGCCCCAGCCAACATGGTCAGTGATGATGGGACTTGGAGAACAGCAACATCTAGAGGTCTTTCTTTCTTTCTTTCTTTCTTTCTTTCTTTCTTTCTTTGTGATACAGTGGTACCTCGGGTTACATACGCTTCAGGTTACATACGCTTCAGGTTACAGACTCCGCTAACCCTGAAATAGTACCTCGGGTTAAGAACTTTGCTTCAGGATGAGAACAGAAATTGTGCTCCGGCGGCACAGCACAGCAGGAGGCCCCATTAGCTAAAGTGGTGCTTCAGGTTAAGAACAGTTTCAGGTTAAGAACGGACCTCCGGAACGAATTAAGTACTTAACCTGAGGTACCACTGTACATACTTTAATAACACGTATCAAAGCAGCTCACAATATATGAAAGCAGCTCTCTCTCACACAAAAAATCAATATCTGTAAAGCATAATTTAATGCATCAATAAAAAAGCAGCAATATGTACTGGTTATGTTGATAATAGTTCAGCTTGCACATATTATTGCAGACCACCCCAATCACTGAGCAGTGTGACACCCCTGGGGTTCCAGGCAAGCCCAGGGTTTGGTTTCCTCAGAATGAAGGACAGACTGTGGTGTCTTTATGATACATGTCTTATTTACACATATATACAGCCCATGCCCATGATGGAGGGGCTCACAGCATTAACACCCCGGAAGAGCTTGCTTCTCCCATAGCCACAGCCTTGAATTCAAGCAGAAATCAAACATTCCTCTTCCTTGCAGGCTTCTGCCTGCCTCCTGCTTCTAGTTTCTAGCTCTCTCACACAAACTCTGCTCTGACCGTCTAACTACCAGCCAGTTGAGAGAGGGGATCCACTCATTTGTTCCCCTTCACAGAGTCACCTCCTTTGTTACCCTAATGGCGCATACTTAGGGGCCATTGATTCACCAAGAAGCTGGCCTGGCTATTCTAACAATGGAATCTTTCCTGGATTCATGAATTAGAATGGGCTCAGGCATACAGCCTCAATGACCCACACCACAAACTCACAACAATATGTATGTCAGTCAGATATACTTCAGGTATTAAGGAAATGGATAGCATGGTGTGGATGAGCCCTACAGAACCGCAGAGAGTTCCTAGACAAGACAGGGATTAGACAACTGAGGTAGATAGTCTTGTCTGTGAATGGTAGGGACACTAATAAGGCATTGGAGGTTAGAACTGAGCATGCTGGGCTCAGTTCCCTCAGATAGCCTGCAGTGGAGGACACTGCCAGTCTTAAGTGACAATCTGGTCATCTCCTGGAGCATGGAATGTGTGTGTGAGGTTGTGGCGAGCACTATTTAGTCCTTTTTCTGAGAAAGGAAAATGTCTTGGGTTTCCGTTGAGCAATCACCAAGTTGAGAAGGGTCATGAAGTTAAGCGATAGACCATTGTTTTTCCATACAGAAGACCTTAGTATCTCCTGGTTGGTCTGAGAGAGGCTCCAGTCTGAAGACCCAATGCCAGTTTCCAAGATGAACCAATAGTCTGACTTGGTATATGGCAGCTTCTTATCTTCCAAGTCTTAAGTGACGCCTGACAAGCCTTTAAAGCAGAGGTTTTCAACCTTTCTGAGTCCATGGCTCCCTTGACCAACTATGTTCTTTCTGCAGTACTCCGTGGGACTCAGGAGCCCAGTTATGTCACCCCTTGCCTTTAGAGCTGGCAGACCCTCACCCCTTTTTGAGCACCCTCTCTTGTGGAGTGTTCCCTCAGCCTCCTCTGCCCTCTGCTTGGGAGTCCTCTGGGCAGCCACTGCTGCCACCCCTGGTCTCTGAGCTGCCCCCCTACCCCAAAGATAGGTGCCTCCTCACACTGCCCCACAGGGGCCGGGGGCTTGTCTGTCCATTCCCAACAGCAAGGGCTGGTGGACTGGCTGGCTTGGCTCCCTCCCTCACTTGCTTGCTTACTCCAAGGCCACCTCAGCTCCTGGCAACCAGCACCCCCTGGCCAGCCCCAGAGGCACCACTCACCTGCAGAGCTTGGAGCCAGGGCCACTGCAACAAATAGCCATGCAAGCCTTTGGGAAGCAAAGAAGTGAGAAGGCATCAGAGCAAGGGAGGGAGGGAAAGAGGGACAGAGGCCAGTGTTGCCCGCTGCACCCCTGACACCCCAAGCTGCCACAGCACATTGGTTGAAAACCACTGCTTTAAAGGGACACAACCTCCTAGGATCTGGGTATGCATATTAGGGTAGGACTTCTACCCTACCCTCAAACAAGGGAACCCAGAACACCTGCCTGAGGATGGAAACCATTGATTCAAACGAAGGACTTTCCATTCAATGTTTGCTATGGCCGTCTCTATGCCTGTTTCCGCTTGCTGTTTCTGATCTGTTTTTCTATGGTCCTTTTAACATGGAGAGGAAGGCAGAGAGCATTCAGTGATACAATGCATTTATGAAAAAGAGGTCTTCCTGGGGAAATCTGATTAACTTCCTTGAGTAAGTGTCAATAAGAGTCTACAGGGAAGGGAGCAGCGATATAATCTGGTTGGGCACCAGGTTTTTCATACAGAGCTACATAAAATAAAAGGGCAATATATGTTATCAGTGGTGAAATTCTCAGCTGGGTAAGCACTGTTTTAAGTGAGAAAGGTCTCTGTGCAGGAGGACAAAACATAAAAAAATATAAAGTGAAGAGAAAAGACAGGTCAATTGCAAAATACCAGTGATGGTTATCAGGTCAGCTGGGTGGGAATTTTGATGAAGGGAGGTCAAAAGTTCCTCACCCTTAATTGGGGAAAGGGAATCTGAGTGAGTTTGGAGTTATTCCAAAATGATTGGTGAAATGTCTGGGAGCTCAGAAAGTGCACTGTAACAATGGGAATTACTTAGCACTTATAGAGCTCATTTTTAATCCTTACAGCTCAAAGCTTTTTACAATGAAGCAGGCGACATTGGTCCACCACTCTTTATCCAGGCAGGCTGCCAATGCACTTAAAAGGGGAATCATAAAATCATAGAGCTTTACAGAACCCCATGGGTCATCTAGTCCAACCCCCTGCAAGGCAGGAATCTCAACTAAAGCATCCAAGATTGGCCGTCCAATCACATTAAGTTTACATTATTAATTTTTTTTGCACTCCAAACTGCAGAATCTCAAGGCTCAATGGTTTTCTCATATGCCAGGGATGGGGGATTTGTGGCCCATTGGATGTTGTCAGACTCTGGTTCCCATCAGCCAGCACAACCAATGGTCAAAGATCAGCAACTCTGGAGGTCCAGAAGTTCCCCACCACTGACTTACACACTGGATTCCTATACATGTTTAACTGGAACTTAAGTCTGCAATCCTACATATGCTTTCCTGGGAGTAAGCCCCATGGAATTAAATAGAATTGCTTCATTGTATTGTAAATTCCATTGATTCCTGCAGCGCCTACTTCTAAGTAAGTGTGCATAGGTTTGGAGCCTCTTGGTTCATTTGGCATATCTGAGACACTTCTTTTCCAAGTATTTCCTGGCAAACTGTAGCATGATGACATAATGTGAATAGTTCATAAGATAGAAGCAACAAATCAAACATGTACTGATTCAAGGGCTTTATTTTAATTGCTTGTTCACTTTATTTGGTCATTTCCCACAAAATACCTATGATAATAGTTCATGTGCATCTCACAGCATCAGATTAGGCTTCCATGTCTGAAATATTTGCATCACCAAAAAAAGGCATATTGGAGATTAAATTAATATTGGTTGCTGTTTTAATTGGTGGCCAGAAAATCCACTTTGTCTCTCTTTAAGACAGCTGGACTAATAAGTGAAAAATATGCACAGAGAGATTTGTCTTCTTTGATATCATTCCTGGTACATTTGCAGGACACTTTTCTGTAGCAGGAGAAAACGTTGCAACTGCAGTTCAAGGGCACCATTGTTCACAAATGCTTCTGCCCCATGGTTACCCCTTTTCAGGAGCACATCACCTGTTTCAGCCCCACTCCATAAGAAATGGGGTCTCTAGGCTTGTCTGGAAAGGAAGGTGATATATACACATAGAAAAGACAGTGCCCCACAACTGCACGCCCTGCCTCTGTTTTCAGGGTGGTCACGGGACCACCTTTGTGAATTGCACCACCACAGAAAAGGTCTGGACGTGGAAGAGACCATGGCTGAAATTGCTGCTCTTCTGTAAAGCCATTTGGATTGCCTTGAGCAGCCTAATCAGCCCCACAAGAGAAGTGTGAGGATAGGATAGTCCATTCTGGTTAACTTCTGCACCTAATATTTCTTGTGTATGTTGTACTTCAATCCAGGAAGCAAAATGTATTGGGCCAGCCCTACTGCTCCCTAATATTCTTCTCTCCTGGAGGTGCTGGTGACTGAACCAGGGACTTTAGATGCTGGACTATTGAGCTATGACCTGCTGGACCGCAGGATGGAAGCCTGTAACCATAGCAATATAGAGCACCAATGGCATGAGCCCCCTTGCCTTTGAGAGGCAGGGATACAGTTGGTAGTTTAGGCTTGTGGAAATAATCCCAGTGCCAAAAAATGTCTACCTTGCCTCCTCCAGATGTATAATAGAATAGGATGTTCAGGGGAAAAAAATAGAAGGATTTCTTTTAGAATGTGAGTAATATAGAAAATGTTGAGGTAATGCTAATCAGGTTGGAGGGGAAATCATTTCTGCAAAAGATTGCACTCTATTTTTTTTTATTGAAGAAAGCTTTTATCCTGAGTAGCTTTGACTGGTGCTTTAAATCAAGGATTATATATTATTGCTTTCTGCCAGAGAAAATGGTATATGGATGTCTGCACTTTCAAAGATCTCAGGCCACCAAAGAAACATGCCCTGGAAATGGTCCCATTGTCTTTAATACCTGCACTTGACAGCATTGATTCTTTTTGAGGAACGAAGGAGGGAATAAGAAAAACGATGAGTCGCATTTCTATAGTG